CAAACATATACACAAAGATAGATACTAACGTATATACATACGGACATGCATACATACATAATTTTACAAACATATATACAAACATACATACTAACTTACATACAAAAAAACATAGGTACATGTACAATATAATCACGCATGTCAACCATCAAGCAAAAGTTATCTTGGGCTTCCTTACTCTCTTGGATTTTTTTATTCGTTAAAATCCTGAAAACCTACATTCAGAAATTCTGTGATTGGAATAATCATTGAGTAATCGCCCAACTTGGAGCTAGGCTTCTCAATTCTCCTGTTTTCACCCAGACAAAACAATTTTCAAGTTTTCTAGAACAATGTACTTTGAAAAATGAAAAGGCTTTTTTTTGTTTCCTAGCAAATTTTATTGATGCGGCATCATAACATTCCTGTTTTGAATAAAGCGGAGAAAATAATTTTGGAAATTTGTTTTTGTTTGATAAGGATTTAATTTTTTTTGTTCTGTTTAACTTTTTTTTGTTTTATATGGATTTAAAATTTTTGATGTTAATGAATTGGCTAAAACGTTTTTGATTATCCTTTAGGTAACCATGAAACACGGAAAATTTTTTTGCTTTGATATCGTTTAAAAACAGATTATTCTTCCTCACTCATTCTAACAGACCTTAAATGTTATAAAATCACTTCGAAAGTTTTTTCAACAAAAATTATCACCAAAAAATAATTGATTGGTTTCAGACTGGAAAGAAAACTCAAATTATAACAAGAATCACTTAAAGCTTATCGAAAAAAAAAATCAAGTTAAAATTGTGAAAGATTTCTACTTTAACGATATAAACTGGTCAAGTTGGTTAACGATAAACAAAAATATCATTCGCACTTTGCTGTTCTTTTCTCAAAACAACCCAGCAAAATTTTTTTTTTCAAAGTCGAGGTTCAATCAAGTCCAGTTTTATTGAAATGAACACGCAAAATAATAAAATTGCCAATCGTGTCAATTGTTTTTTCAAAATTAAATTGTTTTCCGGCTGTGTTTGCACTGCTTTTTTAATACGTTTACTAAATTTAGATTTTTGCAATTTTTTTTTTGTTTTAGAAAAATTGAACTGGGCTCCAAAAGGTATGTTTTTCCTCTCCCAACTAAAAACATCCACCCAACTGAATTGTGATGTGTATTTTGATTGTATCAATATACCAAGAGTACTTCAACAAAAAAGAAATTTTAAGGGTTCAACATTAGTCAAATACAAGCTATTAGTATTCTTTCATGCAAAGCTATAGAGTGAGTTCCGTTTCCATACGTAGATTTATATAAACGTAGTAAACTCATTCAAAAACATGGCGTGAGTTGCGTTTTTGTAAGTAAATAAATATGTATAAACTGTCAATTAAACTTACCACTTCTTTTGAAGTTGAAACATTTCGTTTTCAGTTACAGGTTTAATATGATTTCTGAGGTTGAGCCCGAACTTGATGATTTTATACCAGCAGTAAATGCATCGCATTTAATTCAATTCTTTCCCATTTTATCTGAGCAAATCATGAGAAAAATTGAACTACTCTTTTTTTACGTTTTAATAAACTTAGCGCACAGGTCTTTGTACAGTAATTAAAGTGTTTTGGTATTGGTCTTGGTCCGACATCTCGACCCTGTTAGGGCATGCCATGGCTCGTCCGAATATGCCTTCCCAAGTTTGTCTTCGATAATGAGACTGCGCATATGAGGAAGTTTTTCTTCTCTTCGGGTCGTCGATTTGTCGCGGTGGTGGTCATGCTTTTTTTCTTATGATTTCTAAAGGCCGACTTTTTGGCTACCGTCTTTTTGCATCTTTCACAGGTTTGTTTTTCGTCCCGATCCTTTCTATGCATCCTTGTAACATGTATTTTCAGGCCCGTTAGGCTCTTACTTTTTCGTTCACGTATTGAGCATGTTGTGGATGTATTTATTTCTGCTGTTTGGTTCCTTTCTGTGATCTCTTTATCTGATTTTTTGTTCTCCCATATTCTGATTTTTCTCACTCTCTCTTCGATGAACTTCTGGTATTTCATCCGGTTTAATGCTAAGCTTTCGATGGTATCCGGAACTTGGCCTGCATTTCTCAGCAGTGTCCTCCAGTATCCAATAGCGGTTTGTCTGGCTTTTCTATGCTGGTCCGAAATTTCTGGAGCTGGACAGCCCAATACCAATTGCTTAGTTAACCTGTTGTTGTCCATTCTAAGTATGTGTCCAATTCTGATTAAATGCCGTTTCTCAATCTTCAATTCCATTCTATCAATGGTCAATTGTTTCCTGACTCCAAACATATTTATACTCTTCTCCTGCATTTCTTTAATTGGGGGTTTGTCTTTGGTGGGGGCAAGTTATGTCATCTGCATATGAAACTAGTTTGGGGCACAATATCCCGAAACCTTCAATTGCTTCTGTAGATTCAATTGCTTGAAGAAGGGGTTCGATAAAAACTATGAATAAAAATGCGGAAAGAGGGCAACCTTGTCTCACACCGCGATGAATTTTGAAGCTGGCTGATAAAAAACCATTTATCTCAATTACTGCTTTTGAGTCTAAATACAAAGTTTCAATAGCTCTAACTGAAAACTCATCAAGGTTTAACCCTTTCAAAATTTTGATGAGAAGTGATCTGTCAACTCTGTCAAATGCTTTAGAAAAGTCTAATTTTACAGCACATGAACCTCGGGTAGCCAATCGTTCTGGAGTAATCGCTTTTTTCAACTTTCGTATTGCTGTGTGCATTTGTCTTCCAGGCAAATACGCGTGCTGATGGTTTTTTTCACAACTTTGCAAAAGTCTTTTTTAATTCGATTACAGACTACATGGGCAAAGATTTTTGCGTCAGTATTCATAAGGCTGATGAGGCGAAAATCTTGTACTGCTATGGCATTTTCAGATTTTGGGAGCAGTTTGATTATTGCTAAATAAAAACTGTTTGGAAGTTTTCCACCATGAACAAAATGATTAAAAACTTTAGCTAAAATTAAACAAAACTCATCCGTGAAAGTCTCATATAGCTTAGAAGTAAGGCCGTCTGGTCCAGGCGAGCTTTTCAATTTCAATTTGTCTATAGCCAAGTGAATTTTCTCTTCTGTAAAGTAATTATAGCCATCATTCTCATTTTTTTCGAGTTTATTTTTTGATTAAAATGTCATTAGTAGTTGATCGGAGTCTGTTGTAGAACTATTTGGAAAAATATTTGAAAAATACTATCGAGATTGATTAAGAATATCCTCATCCGTATGATAAACGTTCTGATCCACTTGAATTCGTTTGATTGAGTTAATTGTGTTCTATGATGTTCATTAACTACAAAATTTGGGAACACCCTCGAATGTATAGCTGAGAGTTTTCTGAATTTTTCGATAATCTGAAAAATCGTTTTCCTTGGAAACGTTTTGAAGATGTTCCAGCACCAAATGATATTTTTCAATCAAATTAGGGTTCGGACCTTTTCCGCGGTGAATGCAATCTCTGAGAACATTTTCGTGATACTTCAATAAATTAAGTTCGTTCTGATCTACACGCTTTTTGTTCTCTTGAATAAACCTCAAAAGGTCACGAAAATTGTGCTTAAAGTTTTCGTAACTACTTGGTGATTCATTTTCGTAAAAGTTTTTTAGATCTTCACGAATTAAGCTGGCGTTGTTGTTTAAAATTTTTTCATTTAATTTCCAGTAACTAGGGCCGCGCTGATACAAGTTAGATGGCTTAACAAAAACGTGTAAGAGCAAATGATCAGAAATTGATATTTGAATGCTTTGCATAGAGTCATACTCTGTTTCGAATTTTATAAAAACATAATCTAAGCGTGCAAAAGTTTTATGTTGTTTGTCATAATGTGTATAATCACAAAAATCATTCTTGAGTGCAAAATCAACAAAACCAAAACAATCAAGAATTTGTTCTTTGAGTTGGGTAAATCGTTTGATACGTGCATCATTTAAATTCAGTATTGAAGAACTGTTAACATTATCATAACTCAGCGCATTAAAGTCACCCATCATGATAATTTTTGATTTATTAGGTATAAATTTGATGCTTAATTTCAGGGAATTCAAAGTTGCTTGGAATGAAATTGGGTTCGCATAAACGTTGATAACAAACCAACCAAGTTTGACAAACTTTAACAGTTGAAAACCTGTACTTGAAGCAATTCTTTTTGCAGGACTCAAGTTTGATCACCATAACGTTAAGAAACCACCAGAATTATTTGAGCCCGGTATGAAATCGAATAAAACATTATATTTATCCAGTAAACTCAAATGTATATTTGTAAGTTTCGTTATTTTTGCTTCCTGAATGCACAAAATCAAAACTGGGCGATTTTTTTAAAACTTGGCATTTTTTGATAAGTGAGTGTAATTTAGCTGGATTTCCTATGCTAAAAATATTAACGGAAAAAAATCTGGTTTTTCGCACATAGAAATTTTGCTAAAACTTCCCTCCAACCAAGTCTTCTCCGTTATTTTTAGATTTCATTTTTGGCCCTTTCTTCCGTGTTAAAACTGACCAAGAGGTTGGTGAAGTTTCACGCTCTCGTTTTGTAAGCATTCTTCCGTCAGAGGAACATTTCCGTTTGTTATTTTCGACATTTAAATTGTCTTTCTTTTCTTTTGCAGAGTGATTGTTGAGAACCTCGTCCTTTTGTTTTTCTTCGCTTGGAGTTGCTGCACTGTTTGTCTTAGATTCATCAATCAAAACTCTAGATGGTGGTGCTTCAACATTCTTATCTTCTTCATTTTCGGTACCATTACAAAACTTATCGCTTGTTGTTTCGTCATCGTTTTTCTCGTCGCTGGCATTATTGGAGCTTGGTTTTTGTGGGTAGTGATTATTTGGATTTTTGGTTATTTGGTTCCCTATGTTGCACCAATCATCGTGATGACTTTTTTCTTGGCGTCCAGACATCTAGCATTTTTGACATTCATGTAGTGAAGAAATGTGAAACGAGATTTCTACACCTTCCCACATTTTGAAGCCATCCATTCTCGATTTGTAAGACCAGTCCTTCAGCTTTTTCTCTTGTTCTTCGTTTTGTATTTTAACCTCTAAAATTGCTCTTCCTGTGTAAACATACTGACCCGGTTCAGTTACGATACAGGTCTCACGTTGGATTATGGGGCTATGAATTATGTCTTCTGGCAATTGGAGAATTAATTTCGCTTCGATATCGTTGCATACATAAGACAAGTTCGACAATTTGATTTTTGCTAGTTTAGGGTAAATGTTCTTGGGTCTATGAGACCTTGGAAAGCATCCCATGGGAAATACCGTCCTGTTAAGTAGAATGATTCCTTCGCTTTTGATGCTAGTTATGAATTGCTCTGCTTCGGGGGGAACAATAACTGTCAGTGTATGAAGTTTGCGGACATCTTTCGTCACAGTTATTGTTTTTGAGATTGTCATCTTCTGTTGCATTGTTGTGGGGAATTGTTTAAGTATATCGGAAGCACAACTTCGATATGCCTGCGCCAGATTTTCAGCTGACTTTACAATTTCTCTCGAGAATGGGGGGATGATTTTGAATATTTGGATTTGTTTTGTTTCTGTCGTCGATTTGCTTGCTGTTAGCGCGTTTCTGAAATTTGTCTCCGTTTCAATCAGCACTTCGTGAGTAATTGGTAGCTGAGATTCCGTCAGTTGTTGTTGACTCATGGCTTGTTTTTACTCAATGGGGGGCAAAAAAGCCTTCACCCGGAGATATACTTGAAAAAAAAATTAGATTTTTCTCTTTCAAAATGTAGAAATCAGTAGGCAAAAACATCAACTATTTAATTTAAAAAACTAGCAGTGAAAAAAAAACATTTTGTTTTGAAAATTTCGAATTTCTGTCGCGATCAAAAATTTATTTTTTAAATTATTTCTTATTTGTGGTTGTTTTCGCATCAATTTCACAGTTGTTTGGCAAAAAACTGATTGTTTGGTGTACAGCAAAGTATGATCTTCAAAAAATTTTCAACTTGGCCTGACGATTTGTTGATTTTGTCGAAACTCTTCGTTTTTGCATGTTTTCGATGACCAGATGTTGACTCCTCACATGACCTCGGTCAGACGATCTTGTTCTCGCCTCGGACAAAAATATTGACAAAAATAATTAAAGGATCAAAAAAACTTTAAACTGAAGAATATCTGTTGTATTTTTCATCAAAAGGGTAAGAATAGTCTGTTTTGTTTAGGTTGTCTTAATTTTTTAAGGATATGTACATATTGACCTGTTTACTTTCAGGAAAAAATGGCCGGAACTGATGACAAAGCTATGACAAGTCCGTCCTTTTGCAAAAATGGATGCGGCTTTTATGGATCACCAAATACTGAAGGAATGTGCTCGAAATGTTTTCGAGACTTGAGGAAAGAGGAAACGTCCGTTTCTGTAGCACCGAGTGAGTAATAATGTTCTTTATTCGATCTACATAGCTTTGGATTTTGTTAAACGTTTTTTTCGAATTTGAGCATGAATACTTGAAAAGATCAAATGCAGTTGAAAAGGTTTTAAAATTTGGGTGACTGCAAAGAAAATTTAAGATCCACAACGTTTTTTACTCTTGCTATCGGGTATTAGACTTTTTCCCCGTGAATAACTTCGTTCACAGATTGGTCAAATTAGAAATAGTAAATATAAATTCAGTTCATAATAAATTCAAATTTCTTTGCGTCCCCGGAAACGAAAGCGCCTAGGCTTCAAATATTCTGTTTCAGCCAAAACTCGGCTTATAATTTGTCTGCTAATGTTTTGCCGGCCTAGTTGCCACATCGTAGAATTGTTTTTTTTTGTAGTTAAATTAGTTGCTTTAGGTTTTTTGATTTTTTTTCTGCTGTTTGCAATTTTCTTAACCATGACTTCGTATACTTTCTTTTTTGTTGTTTAAAAAATGTACAGTGCTGATTTAAGTTATCCGGACAAAATGAACAAAATTTGAATTTTCAAACTCGTTTTTCTCAAATTGGGTTAAAATTAGACAAAAAATGAAGAGAACAGAAGTTGCTTAGAATTTCATCAGAATTATTATAGTGCAATTTTTTCTCCGAAATTCTTAGCCAAAATGTTACCCCTAAAATGGGTAATTTTGGCTTTTTTCAATAAATCAAAAATTACGCTGAAACTACTTTGTTGAATGATGAGAAATTTATATCGAAAGAAGCTTCTTACACAGCTCAACAAAGTTATTGAAGGGTTGAATCTTCAAAAACCTGTATAAGAAAAGAATTTTTCGCTTGATAGTCAAGAAATGCGACTTTTACCATATAAAACCCAAAATTTGTGCTTAAAAGCAAATTTTAAACAATTTGCGCAATATTTTGGAGATTCAACCCTTCAAGAGCTTTGTTGGGCTGTGTAAGAGGCTTCTTGCGATATAAATTTCTCATCATTCAACAAAGTAGTTTCAGCGTAATTTTTGGTTTAAAAAATTTTTATTTCAAATAGCAAAACAACGACTGAAGCATGAAACCAAGATAGCACCGGGAAGGAAAGAGTGCACCATATGGGAAATCTATCAGATAAAAAGGCCGGATGTTGGCAATGACATGATAAGAAATTCGCAGAAAGTGAGGTACAAGGTGACAGAGAATAATTGAAAAAGCCAAAATGACCCATTTATGGGGTAAAATTTTGGTTCAAAATTTAGGAGAAAAAATAGCACCATATTAATTCTGATGAAATTCTAAGCACCTTTTGTTTCCTTCATTTTTTGTCTAACTTTAACCTAATTTGAGAAAAACGAGTTTGAAAATTCAAGTTTTGTTCATTTTATCCGGATAATTTAAATCAGCACTGTATTCTGCAGAAATTATTTCGGCTTATATTTTATCGGCTTAGTAGTTTCAATCTGAACGGTATTTTTTTCTACTTTCAATCGGAATAACTACACTCGCGTCAGCTTAGTGCATTATTAAGAACCTTCTTTTTTTCTAACCGCAAATATTGGTGCCACCATAGTCTTTGAAAAACACACAAATATAGAAACAAGGCTAGCTGGTTACTGTGCAAATAGCAGAGGGTATTCCGACAAAGTGTTTCAAAAATCCAATAAAAAATATTTTCCAAATTAGTGGTGTTATTTGTGGGTGGTGTGACAAAAGGATTCGAACAAAAAACTAGAAATTAGGCACGTTCGACAGTAATTGTTAAATTGACAAATCGCTTTACATTTTTTGAAGAAAATGTCTATGAACGCAAAAACAAATCATCAAAAGGTCGAAAAAATGTAACATTGTTTTGCAGAAATTTATTGAAGTTTTGATTCCCTAAATGGCGTTAAAAAACTCCAAAAACAAACTTTATTCGAGTTAAATTATCATTAAGCATAAAGAAGTTGTTGTAAGCAGAAGAAAGCATGCTCGCTCGCTTAACACACGAATCAAGGCGAAAAATCAAAAACTTCAAAACGGTTTTTCTTGATACTGGGATTTTTATGTTGTTCGGATCACGACTGAAAGGGTTTTAATATGATATATCACTCAACCCAGTCCGTTGATTATTTAAGGTACCTGATTTCGCGCGGAAAACGAAAAGAAAAAACTAAAACAAGCCCAAATACAGTTCATCCCCTTTTCCAATGATCAGAACAAATATACAAGATTATAATAACTTCAAATTGTCATTAGTAAAATTGATAGGTGGGAACGCAAGAGAAAGAACCACGGGAACCTTAAGCTCAAACAACAACAGTTGCTCATTTATCCCGAGAGGCAGTGAAGCGATCAATCCGTCAGCTGACAGCGACAACCGACTAGGCGAGTCTGTTGCGACGAGCGGGGGCCTACCGACAAATATTTCCAGCATCGCCGCTGCCTCATCCTCATCAGCAACAGAAAGCACCTCAGACGAAGCAGCCAGCGTCACTGCAGATGCTTCCCCATCTACATCACAGAATAAAAGCTCCAAACCACGTTGTAAAGTCTGCAAAAAGAAGCTCGGCTTAACAGGTTTGCATACAATTCCACTATAAGTGTGTGTCTAATTACACTGTCAACATATTTTTTTGCATTGATTGGTGTTCTAGATGCATTAAAACGAAGAAAAAAGTCTCTGATTTTCTGGACTGTTGATACTTTTGTTTGGGATTGTGAAGTTGACTTATTGTGTATAGACATGAGCTGCAGATGTGGCGGGCTCTATTGCAGCATGCACCGGTACCCAGACGACCACGCGTGCTCTTTCGACTACCGAACTGAAGGTCAGAATGCACTCCGCCTAGCCAACCCCAAAGTAGACGGAGAGAAGATTGCCAAGATTTGAATGGTGGCCACGTAGAGGGAGTAAGCTGTGCAGAATGAGTGGGCGGGCAATGACAACTGCTGATTGTTATCATGCGACACGGCAAACCCGAACTGTTCCTTGTTGTCTCTTTCGTCCAGTTCTTCCTTGGATAACCGCCTACCTTAACTGACTCACTCATTAGGATTTGCTTACTTCACTCAACTAATGAACAACACACGTATCGCCCGAATTTTTCAAGTAGTTTAAAATTATGTATAATCGGATTCAACTTCAAAGCAACGTTATATGAATTCAATTGTTATTTGGTGCATGCATTAATCAAATTCAATTTACTGTTTTTTCCTAAATCTTTTCAACTCTGTCAAAGGTAAGCCGAAAGGCATCAAATATGACCTGGTCCAAAATAGCTAATGACATGTGGTATCGAATTGAATTGGCATAAGACTGGCGAAGGAGGTTTAAGTGCAACCGGAGCCAGTTTAAAAACTCGTAGAATGACCGCGATAACAGCTCAAAAATCAAAGCATGAAAAGGTAGCTTAATTGGATAATCAATGACTTCAAAGTCAGAGGCAAAGTGTCGCATAACTTTTAGGAACTGAAAATCAAATATTGAACGCCCTGAATGAACATTCGATAGATGCATCTACAAATTGAACCAACAATGCCGTGATTAGATAAATCGGATGTGGACAATTTTAGGTAAGAGTAGCTGAAAACTATTGAACTAGAATTATTTTGATCGAAATATGCCAATAATTTCCAAAGCAAAGAAGCCGTATAATTAGTTAATTTGCTTAAAAATGCAGGTAATAAAGAAACAAAACTCATTTAAAAGTACGAAGCAAAGAGTATACTAGAACCTTACTTAATGGAGAAAGACGAGGAGAGGGCATACAACGGGACTAATGTCCACTTTTACAGTTAGCTACGATTCTGCATTATTTATTGTCAAGATTTTGTACGGGGGAAGAATTGGTTATTCCGTTTTTTTTTTGCTAGAAGAATGGACTAGAGAAAACTCTTACTTGATATAAGCACAGCCAGGTAAATCTGTGTTGAACTCTCAACATAAACGTTTGAACCCGAGTTGAAGTGAAACTCAAGACGGTTTGCCTGGTTGATTAAATGACACTTGAAAAGCACCAAAATTAAGTGTTTTTTTTCCAAATTTTTAATCACTAGGAAACTTAGAGACATTTAGGCAAAGAGATGTTTACTGCAGAATCACGATTTGTAGCTGTCAGAGGAATGATGGTAGCACTATTCCAAAATTAAGCGAGAAAAAAACCGGGAAAAACATCAATTTATTCTTATGGAATTTAGTCATTTGGTTTCACAATCAAAGTTTAGTTGTTTTGACCCCATTCTGGGACCTTTGTGCGATCGAAGAAGGCATACTTAAATTTTTGCGTAGGTTCATCGTTATTTAATATTCGATTTTAAACAAAATCTGAGTTAGTTCATTGTTGAGTTGTAGCTGTTTTTGAGATCGGGATAGCAATTCCTAACTTGTTCTTCAGTTGAGGAATGTGAGTCTTCAGATAGAACTCCGTTGTTTCTGAAAAGGCTATGAAGGTGGGCAGCTCTAAATCTCAAAGAGTGTTTTTCAAGATTGAGTTTAAAAAGAATTTCAAACTAAAACAACGTTGAAAGCCAATTCTGAGTGCAGCTGATTTATTGAGCTTAAGACAAATTTCAGTAACTCATATACGTGTAATTCTTAGATAGTTAGTAAACCTAGTAAGTATTTTTAGTCTCAATGAACGAAGTAAAAACGCTTCTTAATTTCGTGTAATTGTAGTTGTCCAGGAAAGCAGTCAAAACAGAAAAAAAATCATATTTGATAAACCTCCGATGAACGTAGCAAATCTGAACTTGTGCTTTTACTTCTAATTGCGTTGATTGAAAAAATCGATAATTGCATCATCGATTACTATCGTTTTAATCGAAGATGTATTAACGGTTGTATGTAAAACCGCCGAAGTCGTAAATCGTTACCATGCATAAAAGCATAAAATAATGTTAGGGTAATACAATGAATACCTACAAATTATGTAATTATTAGGAAAATCAAATCATTGGAAACATATTTTCATGCTCACCTTTGGATTGCACATAATGCTATAATCGTTATAAAAGTTAAAGCTCAAGTTTTTCAAGACAACAATTTTTTTCGTCTTTTTTTTGCTTGATAGGGTTCTACCGATATTATATCGGTATCATTTATAGTTGTTTTGAGGGCGAGGGGGACTTAATAATTTTTCATTAGTCTTAAGTTTTGTTGATTTTTTTTCAGCTTCAAGGGTTTCTGCTGAGGTTTTTTGGGCTTTTTTACCGCTATGTAAATTATTTTCCGATGCTAATTTCGCATTCTTTTGTCTCGGAATGTTTTTGTTTTAAAACTAGACTTTTTCAATTTGATAGATCTAGTTTTTGACATTTTCGATTTTTTTCCCGATTTTTTCTTGTATCGCAAAGAGCTTCGCCTCTGTGTTTGAAGTTTTGTTCGTTTCCTTTGTTAAAAGGAAACCAAAACCCACTTTTGAACAGCTAAAGTGTAAATATCAGGCCAAACGTTATCGTCTTCTAATTTCGAAAGTGGATTTTAATCATCAGATTTCCCTGCGGAACGAAAGTTTGAATATTAATCTAGGTTTCGAATTGGGTTATTTTTAACAACAAAGTGTCAATCATTAATCGTTTCTGAAATTCAAAGAGTTTTAAGGACATATATTTGCAACTTAGAAATTCGAAAGATGAAGTTATTAAAAAGAGCTCATAAATATTAGGGAAGTTGTTAATGAACAATTTAAGAAAAAAGTTGAAAGTGGGGAACCCGTTGTCTTCTGGTCTGCTCATCTTTTTTCCTTGCAAAATCAGGTACCAAAGACAATCATCAGAATGAGTCGAGTGATATAAAACACATAATTGCGCTTTGTTTTATAATTCAGTCGACATTAAAAAGTTTTCCAGTGTCGAGAAAAAATTAGTTAGAAAATTTGATTTTTGCTAATCTCACGCAATGAAAGTGAGCTATTAGACATTTAAAAGGATGATGTTTTAAGCATTTTATTTGAGCCGTGAAAACTTCATTTTATTTCGATGAAATTAGCTTAAACATTTTTCAAGCGCTTTTTTGGGAAAACAATAAAAATTGAAATCTGCCAAAATATTTCGTTCGATTGTATCTCGTCCAATCACGGAGTATAAAACGACAAAATTTGAACGACATGCTGTTCGTTTTTATCGCAATTAGCGTGAAACGCTGCTTTGCCTGTCTACACTGTCTAAATTTTTGATGAAATCAAAACACGAGAAAAGGTATGGGATGAATAATCATTGACCTCAAAATCAGACCTTGTCAGTACCATGTCATTCTTTTTCATCGCAGTTGAGGTGAAACTCCTCTTCGCCGGTGTCCAAATGAGTTGCAGGCGCGGCTTTGTTTTTAAAGAAGTCAGATATTTGACAGTTTCTTTATTTCAGTTAACCATTAGTTGTACAAATTGGCTACCATTAATTAATTTTTAGTACCTGTTAAAGTCAGTTTTGTAATTCTTCAAGTAATTTGTTGGTTCGGCTAGGTTTTGACATTATGCTCTTATGACATTTTTAAGGTTATAGCGTTTCGGCTAGCTTAAAAGTTTAACATTTTGCGCTTTATGTACATTTACAGCAATTCTACCTCATTTCATGGTTTCAGGTTGGTTCGAGTTTTCTTTTTCTTCATAAACTTGTCACGATTTTCAGAATAACGTCTTACAATACATTCATACTATAGTCGAAGTCCTCTGAGCATGACGTACAATTCTTTTTTCAATTGGTCAATAAATTTGGTCAGCATAAATTCTCCATTTTTGTCAAGGTCTTTTTGCTTTTTCATCATCCTCCGCATAAGAATTATTGATTTCTTAATGTTTGACCATGAACGTGCACAGTTAAAACATTGGTGGTCATGATATCACGCTAGGAATCATCACTACTCGAAATAATCTCTGAAACTATTTTTACAAATTTATTTTATCTTCTATTGTTTTGATGGTGTTCTCTGCTAGTTTCAGTTCAACTTTTGCAAGCTGAAATTATTATTTTTTCAAATATGTGCTTTGTATTCTTTTTCATGCTGATTTAAATAGTGACTATTGCAAAGTTTTCTACACCTCTGATTGCAAAGTTTCTCTTAAAAAATTTTCTTGGATGAAGGTTTGACAAGAAAAGACGCTTCTTAATGATTAATATTAAGCAGCCATAACCCAAACCATTTTAGATGTAATGGGCGAAACCATGAAGTGTCATGAGTGAAATCTCAGTTGTGTTCAAAATATTGATGGGGATGAGAAAATTTTAATATTTGGTCGATTTCTCTAGAAAAAAATGATAATCTTCTATAGCTTATTTTATCAACAGATCAAATTTAATTAGCAAATTCTTTTCTTCTGGTTTAGTAACGCACGCACTTGGGAGTTTGGCGAGTAATTATAGTTTTGCAGAAAGGAAGTAGATATTTTTCGGATTATTATGTCTGATCATTTTTATCGGCTACAGTGTGATAGAACAGACTTTCAAAAATTTAACATTTTTTGACATTCATATGGAAATCTTAAATGGTTACGTAGCAAAAAGTAGACCGGTCATAAAGTAGAGAAATACTATATTAACCAATCAGAATTAAGATAAGAAAAAGAATGTTCGAAATAATTAATTACTTCGTTCCAATGTTTGTCGGCTTACTTGCCGGTTGTTTTATTTATTTTTTTGGTAGATTCCTTTAGCACTCTCTTTCTTCATTTTGAAGAGGGTAATTTAAGTTGTTAATTTTCTGGTTTTTATACACGACTAAATTTTCTGTTAGACGATAAAAAATTTAAATAAAACACAATACCTTGATTTTTTATTTCAAAAATTTTTATCATGGTTTCTGGTTATTTTTAAAAAATCTAATCAGGTTTTTTTTTATTTTGTTCTAGGGCTCAGCAATGTTATTTTAAATCGATACAAATTAATGGGATAACGTTTGTTTTATAATGTAAAAAAAATTAAAGAAAAATTTCATACTTTTCAGGAAAATGTTTTTTTTTTGCATTTTTTTTGGTGTTTCGTCAGCAAAAATTGAGGCGCGTGCTGCATGTCATTCAGGAGTGTGTTTTTTTGGCTGAAACTTCTCGAAAAAATGATTTTTTGTGTTTTTTTCTCTTTCTTTCACGGGCATCTATTTTTTCCTGTCATCCAGCTATCTTAACGTGACGTACCATTTTCATGTTTGATGTAATTAGTTTTTTAGGCTTTCAGAATTAATTTGTCAAGTTTTCTGCAAGTTCATTTTGGCAATTCAAGCTCTTTTTGGG